GGGTACATGTGCGTGCAAGATGTTTGTAGGAGTTTTGGGGGGAATATATATAGAACAGAGATGTAAGAGTAGGGAATTCTGGTTCTGGTCGCGAGAGAAAGCGCACGCGCGTGCCATGCGCGTGTGCGTGGTTTTGTGTCTCTTTGTGCGATATTCCCTTTAACATACTTTTTCTGTAACTTTAACGCTGCCAAGTTACGAGAATGAAAAATCGTAGCAGATTTTCTCATAACAATACGAAACAAAGTGATGTCGACGGTCTAGGAGAAATTGTTAATGTTAAGACTAATTTTGTTTCTGACAACGGGCCCCAGGTCTAGATCTGATATATAGGTCAGTCGGAGTATTACTGCATTTCCATTGGTTTATATGGTTAAGCGTAGGGATTACGACCCACTACCAGACTGTTCCACTAATATCTGTGAATTTCCTAGCTTCTGATCACACCTTTGCGACGTAACAGAATTGCAACAATCAGCCCTTCGTCGGCTATTGTATTTGTGCCATGTCTGCCTAGTCCTAAGTGGCGAACATGAAATTGGTTAGTAATGAAAGTAGGAGCTGGCTGCTGGTCGGCTTTGCATCTGTCCACGTGTTAAAGAGCTATTCGGTAGACGTGACATCCTCGATTGCGTTATTAGCATTAACAATTGTGTTAGACTCGGCATGGCTTGAGCGAGTGTGGCTGCGATAACCAACCTGCTCAACGCACTGTTGCTGAAGTGAAGGGACGCCGTGGAAATGTTATTATGATAACTTATATCTACTAGGTTAATTGTCCAGCAAGTACCATTAAAAACAGTGTTTGTGCGAATTCGCACAGTAATTAGCACTCGTGTGTTCGCTGAGTCGACTGTCAGCGTCTACGCTTGATTTCGCTTGATTTCACGCTCCGGTGTTTTTGGTGGAGTTGGGCGCGGCCTTGGATGCGTTTGCCCGTATGTGCTGTATCAGGAATTCTGCGTTCATCTCTTCTTGAAATGTAAACTTGAAAGACAGCTGCCTCTCGTGATATCAGAAGTAGATAATAGATAATAGGGAATCTCTATTATCTACTTCTAGTGATATTTTACTAGCGGCTCTATTAAATCGACCTAATCGCTATCGGGACTCGAGTTGTGTTTA